TTGTTGTTGTTGTTGTTGTTGTTGTTGTTGTTGTTGCTGTTGTTGTTATTGTTGTTGTTGTTTTTGTTGTTGTTGTTGTTGTTGCTGTTGTTGTTGCTGCTGTTGTTTCAGCTTCTAGGAAAAAAAAGCTTGTTAGCGCAGCTCCTGCGGAGCTGAAATGTGGAACTCACATATATCCTTAAATCTTAATATTCTAATACATCATATGTAAACTGAAAAATTCCGCGTACACTGTAGTTGTTTTCATTGATACTCAATGACAAGAGCGACACTTTGTTATTTATTTCTTCATTTAAAACAGAAAATTTTTTTTTGTTTCAGAGCGTCCTATTTTTATTTTGCATTGTTGCTATTCGCTCATTATCTTTCATTCTTTTTAATTCATTTTTCATAATTCAACATTCTTATTATTATAATCATTAAATTAATCAGCAAACAAATCTGTTTCACATATCCATGATATATACAGAAGATCTTATGCACTATTATATATATTAATCAGCTCACAAACACTGATGTTGATTATCTTTCAAAATTATAACTTGATCAATTTTTCAAAAAAAATTGAAAGCCTGACGCTTGTTATCCTTAATTACTAAGGTCTGTAATGGGGGGGATATGTCTGCAATGTTCTCTTTCTCCGTTGCTATGGTCTGTAATGGAGTTGTCTGTAATGTTCTCTTTCTTCGTTGCTATGGTCTGTAATGGATATGTGTATAATGTTCTCTTTCTTCGTTGCTATGGTCTGTAAGGGGAGGGTGGGGAGCCGCCAAACCTCGAACTTAAAACTTACACTCACTATTTTCTTCGAAAATATATGTGAGTTCCACAAAATTGATAAGACATTAGAAGCATTATCTGTAGATAATAATAAAATAGAAGTTGAAAAATAAAATAAATGGTAAAACTTTTCATTTCGATTCTTTATAAAAAAAAAAAAAAAAGAAAGTACATATCAGAATAGAATATGAAAAAATAAAAGAAAATATCAGTTCAACTAATAAGAAATGTAAAAGTCTTTGGAAAAATGTCAAACTCTGTTGCATCTTATAACCAACATGTAAATTAATGAAATTTTTGTTAGAAAGAGTAATGTCTGAACTAGAAATTTTGTAGGAGATATATTTTTCTAGAACGAATCTAAGAAAGATGAAGAGTCAAAAAAACAAAAAGACTTCTAAAAAAGTTCTTGCAACTTGAAAACTTTCTATTTCTCAGTTATTTTGAGCTATGTGGAACAAATTCTTATTAAAAGATTGACCAAAATGTAGCATATCGGAAGGTCAATCGATGTCAGTTTTGGTAAAATTTTTTATAAAATAAAATATTACAAGAACAATCAGTTTGGAAGAGGATCAGTCATAATCTCCATAAACCATACGTGAACGGAATTCTCTGTGCGTTATTTGTTCGAAATATGTCAAATCATAGAAACTTAGCAAAAACAAAATTTCAAAAACATTTTTTATTGTTGCAAAACGGTCAGGTAGTAAGAATGACCAAATTATAGATTCTTTTTCATAAACAGGCATATTTTCTTATAAAAAGCAAGAGTAAATTTAACTTGAAATATACCATACGAAAGAGCACTCTTTATTCTACTAAAATCATCGTTAAACGTGTTTTTTCATTTCATTTTTGATATAAACAAATTTAAGGAAAAATAGAAAAATGATGTTGAATAATAGTGAAGCTGCTAGAAATTTTTTCGGGGTATTTGTTTCTTAGCATATTCTCCTTCTTAGATTCATTCTAGAAAAACATGTCCACTACAAAATTTTTAGTCCGGATGTTACTTTTTCCAATAAAAAAATTTCATTGGTTTAGAAGTTGGCAATGTGATGTAACAGAGTTTAATATTTTTCCAAAGACTTTTGCACTGCTTATTCTTTTAATTTTGATTCTACAGACATGAAACAATAGTGTTCTTTTCTCTTTGATTTTTTGTGAAGTTGATTGTTCTATTCAAGGATCTGAATTCTAATGATCTTTTGTTTGTAAAATGATAAAAAAAGATGTGTAATAAGATTTAACGTTTTTTTTTCTAGTTTTAAGAACAAATCTGATTGTAATGAAATGAATTGAAAAATGATGATTATCGTAGTGTAAAAGATATTTTACAAGATGGATGATTAATGAGATAAATTAATATCTATTTGAAAAAAGAAAAAAGTGTTAGTATTTTTTTGAATAATTTCTAATAGAAACTAGATAGAGACTTGCGATTTTCATCGTTTAAAAGAAGAAATGAAACTATATCGAAACACATATATCAAATTTTTCAAAAAAATCCACTTTTTTTTCTCATATTTTAACGAAATATCCACCTAATAAATCTATTCAAAAGTCTGAATTTTTCGATAAATTGACGAGAAACTCTGACAAAATTTGTCAGAAAAATTCGGTATACTCGATTTGATGGAGGTTCATCTTCTCTTTTAAACGATGAAAATCGCAGCTCTCTATCTATTTTCTATTAAAAGTTATTCAAAACATACTCTCACTTTTTTTCTTTTGTTGAAATGAGTACTACGTAGGTATTGTGAACAAGTTGTAAATTAAAATACTTTTGCTGTCGTAGAAAGATTTAATTATTTTTTCTTTTTTTTTTTTGCACTCACTGAAAATTATTCAATTAAAAATTTCTTTTATGGCATAGTTAATGAAATTCGAAAGAAGAAAATAAATTGAAGTCTTGTAATGTGAGATAAAATATTTTCATTGATAAAGAATTAAGTCTTACACCAGCGTAAACTAATTACAAGTTGAATTGTTTTTAAGACTCGCATTTTGTCTAACTTATAGAAAAGCATGTAAATTTTGAAAGTTAAAATACAAGATTTGCTTTAAATCTTAAAATGTATTTATCGAAATAGATTTGAAATATATTATTAAGTCTTCATTTATAAAATATTTCTTCTACTTACCGACAAAACTTCTACT